CCCCCGCCGTGGGAGCCCGCCGCCGCCGCGGCGGGCGGCGGCAGGTGGGTCTCTGACGAGCGGCAGCTGCCGGCCGAGGTGCGCGCCGCCCTCAAGAGCCTGCGGTCGGCCGCGTCTCAGGGCGGCGGCGAGCAGGTCCTAGGCGCGTGATTGGCTCTGGAGGACGGCCCTGGGCGAGCCCTGGGCGGCGGCGGCGTCTGCAGGCCGCACGACGGATGCTTCAGAGCGCCACCCGAGGCGGGCCTGCCGCTGCGCCTGCGGCTGGCGAAGCGTTGCCCCCAAACCCCTGTGCTGCGATGGTGCCGCGCGGCTGGCATGAAGCCATAGTGGCCATCTCGTGCATGGTGTTTGCTGCCTGCTTATTGTCATCAGCTTGACACCAAATGACTTACACCAAAGCCAGGCAAGATGTGTAAGGCTGTACAGGCAGGGGTGCCATGGCATCATATCATGCTTTAAGTGCACCCCACTGTTGCAGCTGTTGCGTCGTCGGTCACAGCTTCATCGATGAAATGCTCACCACCTGAGAGCTTTGCTGGCCCGACGAGTGGCAGCCTAACATTGCAAAATAGTGAATTGACTTATTACAGTCAAGGATTGCTGCAACCGCAGGGGAATTGCATTGCCGCCAGGAGCTGCGTGCGTCAGTCCACCGGCAGGGCGGGTGTATCGCCGTGTGTGCGCCGCGCAATGCTCCCACAAGCAAGAAAGCTCCAACCTAAAAAGCTGCTCTTTGGCCTGGACTCACAGCTGTTATAACGCCCTGTGGGGCCTCACAATTCACTGCCGAGCGCCCCTGCAGCTTGCCCTGCCGCCACCCCCGTTCAGCCCCCTCCCCCGGTCAGCCCTTGCCCAAAACCGAAACATGTAATGCGAGTGCGAACGGCCATCGATGAGTGCTGTGTGCATTCAGGCTGTCTTTGCCTTTAAGGGAGGAGCGATGCTTGGCGGATGTGAAAAGAAAGGCCCCGCCCTCTGCTGCAGCACGCGGGCGGGTCGGTGGGTTTGTGTGCGCAGCGCCTGCGGGGCAATTGCACCGCCGGCGCAACCGCAGCGTGTACGGTGCAAAATGCGATGCGGGCGCGGCAAAGGCCTCCACGACGCAGGCAGGGTTCACCCTGGCTTGGGCACCCGGGAGGCCTTCAAACTGGATTGTCAGTACAAGTCGCCGTCCCCGAGCGCCACATACCCAGAAACCAGCCGCGCGTCCCCCTTGGCGCCGCCGCCGCCCCCGCTGCCGCCCAAGGCCACCTCCGCCCCGCCGCCCTGCCGCCATGCCCCGGCCCCAGCCACGCCGGCGGCCGCGGCCCGCGCGGCCGGCGACGCCGGGCTGCGCTGCTGCGCGGCCGACGGGCTGCCGTCGCGGGGCGGGCGGTTCAGCACCTTGATCAGGCGGCTGCCCCAGCTGCTCAGCCCGCCGCCGCGCTCCTCCTCGCCGCCGTCCCCGCCCTCCTGCTGCTGCTGCTTCCCGCGGCCGCCGCGGCCGCCAGTGCCGTTGCCGCGGAGTTGCTGGGCCGGCGCTAGGCCGGCGCGGGCCGCCCCGAGCATCTGCGCGGGAGAGAGCCCTGCGACTTGGGCCTGGAGATCCGAGATGACCGCCTCCTTTGCGGCGCCGTCCGCGTCCTGCGGGGCGCGTGCGAACCGCGAGCAGGCGTTGCGGGTTGAGCCAACGAGCCCCTCTGGACCAAGCAACAGAGGATAAAGATGTGCATGACGTGTGACGCGCGCGGAGGACGAGCTGAGAGGGGGATAAAAAGGATCTGATTATAGACCTTGTGATGCACAGACTTGAGGCAATGCGACAAGCGGCGCCGCCCTCCAGGCGGGCGCAAGCTACAGCGCGGCGCCCACACCCATCCGCCCGCTCACTCACCGAGGTCTCGAGCCGCGCCATCGTGCGCGCCAGCTGCTCCGTCAGCGCCGCGCCGTCCGCACGCGCGGCCGCCAGCGCGCCCACCAGCTCGGCCAGCTTGGCGGTGCAGCAGTCCACGGCTTCGCGGTACTCCCGGACTAGCGCCACGTGCCGCTGCAACAAAAGTCCGCGCTGGTCAGCCTCCTCCGCCGTCGCTGCAGCTGCCGCTTGTGCCGCTGCTGCTGTGGCCTCATCATCTTCCTCTTCTGCTGCTGCTTCTGCTCCTGCTGCTGCTGCTGATGATGATATGGGTAGACCGTCCCCAGCTGCCTGCAGGCCCGGCCCCCCGTCCCCTCGATCCTCCAGCAACGCGGCCGGCCCAGGGCCCGACGCCGCCGCCGCATCGGCGGCGGCGGCGGAGTCGCGCAGCAGCTCGGAGGCTGCAGCCGAGGTGGACGCGAGTGATTCCAACAGCTCTGGAATTTGGAACTCTTCACTGACCGCCGCGGCGATCTGGGCCTGGGTCAGCCCTGCCGCCGGCGCGCGGCGCGGAGAGCCAAAGCCGTTGGCGCGCGGCTGGGCGGCGGCAGCCGGTTGCTGCCCCTGCGGAAGGGGCTGCGGCTGGGGCGCTGATGGGTCCAGCGACTGCGCCGCGGCTTGCTCGGGCAGGGCCGTCCGCTGCTGCTGCTGCTGCTGCTGCTGCTGCTGCTGCTGCTGCTGCTGCTGGTGGTGGGTCTCATGAGGCAGCGCTGTCTGCCGCCAAGACAGCTGCGGCCCCAGCCCACCCCCACTCTGACCC